ATGCCTTGTTCCATTCTAAGGTCAGCTGCAACACAATGTGCTAGCGAGTAGTTATTTTGTTCAAATAGATCACCTTTAACTTCCTTAATTATATTTGAATGTTCGATGGGTTTCCAATTATCTTCGAATTTTTTAAATTGAGCAGATTCATTATCAGTCATTATTTTCTGTGGTTGTCCGAACAAGTTTTCCTGTGATTCAAAAAAGTGTTTAATTTTTTCATGCCAAATGTATTGATCATCTTTTTCTTCATTTTCTTCGCATACGGCGGACATGTGTGTTAATGGTGGTTTTATTAGATCTACGGGGTGAATTTCCTTAGGAGGACGTGGCAGGGCATCTGCATTTGTATTCTGTTTACCTTTTTTATATTGAACAATGTAGTCGAATTCCTATAATTTTAATTTCCACCTGACTAATTTCGAATTAGGTTCCTTAAGAGAGAAGAGCCATTGTAACGGCTTGTGACCCGATATTATCGTAAATTTCCTAACAAACAGATATGGTCGAAAATACTTAGTAGCCCACACGATAGCGAGAAGTTCTTTTTCTGTCGTAGAATAATGGCATTCTGCAGAGTTGAGTGTTCGGCTGGCGTATGCTATTGGTAGATCCGATCCGATAGGTCCTTGCGAAAGTATTGCACCAATTGCATAGTCCGAAGCATCCGTTGTTAAGACAAAAGTTTTATTAAAATCCGGGTATTGTAGTATAGGGTCATTGGTCAATATATTCTTGCAAAGATTAAAAGCTGAGACGAATGCTTTATCATGGGTTATTTTAACGTTTTTCTTTAGGCAATGTGTCAATGGTTTTGTAATTTTTGCGAAGTCTTTAATGAACTTCCTATAGTATCCAACGACTCCCAAAAATGATTTAATTTCTTTTGGAGTACTAGGGATTTTAAAATTCTTAATAGCCTCAATTTTCTTCGGGTTTGGTTTAACTCCATCCGGGGTTACTACATGTCCTAAGAATTCTACTGTCTTCTTTAAAAATTCTGATTTATCTAATTATATCTTCATATGGAAGGACGATATTCGTTCAAAGACTAATTTTAATGAGTTTAGATGTTCCTGCAGACTAGTTGAAAATATTATTAATCATCCATATATACAAGACATATTTTACCCAATAGTCCACGCAATATATTATCCATCGCACGCTGGAATGTAGATGGTGCGTTCTTCAGTCCGAAGGGCAAACGTGTGTATTCATAGTGTCCCTGTTCTACGTTAAACGCTGTTTTCGGAATACTTTCAGGATCCATTTCTATTGGATGGAATCTGCTAGCAAGATCTATTGTTGTAAAATACTGGCATCTTCCTAGTTTATCAAGTATATCGACGATATTTGGTATTGGATATTTATCGTCTATTGTTTTTTCATTTAATTTCCTGTAGTCTATCACGAGCCTCCATTTCCTACATCCGGATGCGTCTGCCTTTTTGGGTACTATCCAGACTGGTGAGCTCCAGGGAGAACTTGATGGTCGAATTATTCCTCCTTGTAGCATTTCTTCTATCTGTCTATTCACTTCTTGTTTATGGATATACGGGTAACGATAGCTTTTCGCATGTACGGGAATTTCATCACTAGTTCTAATAATATGTTTAACTTGGTTTGTAAAGGTTAAAGTGTCTCCGGGTTTATGTTCCTTTTCTTCTAGATTTAGGTGTTCATGCCGTATTAAATTTTTTATATCGATTTTCCCAGTAATTTCGTTTTTATTGTCGGGTTATTAAAGGCCGTTGTTTCAAAATTAAAGATTTCAAAATTATTAAGTTCAAAGGGTTCTAAGGGTAAGTTATTATTAAAACTACCTTCGAGGGCTATTGATTTTTCCGAAATATCATATATATATATATATATATATATATATATATATATATATATATATATATATATATATATATATATATATATATATATATATATTCTCACGTATTGATTCACGGATGGAAAAATGTGATGACACTATATTCCGGGATATCATCCGTTCGCTCGTTGAACTCCAACTGGAATCCTGCATCCGACTGGAATCCTGCAGACGTTTCGCCAAAATCTCACTTGGCATCTTCAATGCTCGCGCTCCGAAAACACTGTGTTCGAAGTGTTTTCGGAGCGCGAGCATTGAAGATGCCAAGTGAGATTTTGGCGAAACGTCTGCAGGATTCCAGTCGGATGCAGGATTTGCAGGATTCCAGTCGGATGCAGGATTCCAGTTGGAGTTCAACGAGCGAACGGATGATATCCCGGAATATAGTGTCATCATATATATATATATATATATATATATATATATATATCAATTGTATAAGTTTTATTTGTAATTGTTACAAGGGTTGGTTGTATTTCAATTGGTTTTTTAACTTGGTATTTTTTAAGTCAATGTTTAGATTTAATTTACAAAGGTCTTTTATTCCTAAGATACCATCAAAATATTCGTGGAAGGGATATAAAATAAATTCAATGGGTTCGGTTATACCAAAACATGTAAAAAGTGGAATAGTTGCCTTATGTGTAGCTTTCTTTGAACCCGCGCAAGTATGAAGAGTATTTACATAAGGTTTGATTAGTTCTGGAAAATAAGTTTCGGCTAACGAAGGTCTAAGAAGTGACGCATGGGAACGTGTATCTATAAGTAGTCGAATTTTATAATTAGGGATTTCAATATATGGTAACTCGTTTATTTGAAAACTATTTAAAGTTAGGCAGGGTTGGTTTCGTCCGAGGCCGTTAATTGAAAATTTTCTAATTTTTCGATTATATCATTTTCTTGTTCAAAGCATTCTTCTTCATCATAGTCGGAGTAATAGTTACTTTCATTAGAGTTAGTCGAGTCTGTTTGTAGTTCATTAATTTCGTAATTATTGTTAGAGTTTTCTACGTGTGTTAATTCCTGAAATGTAAAGTTTGGTTTACCTGTTGAATGAAAATAATTTTGTTGTGGTCTCATTTGCGGAAACGATCTTTTAGGTTGTATGCTCACGCCTGACATAGGTTGGGGGTATTGATTTTTTTAATTTTGGGGGTTATTTTGATTAGAAGTTTGCGGTTGTTGCATCGGTTGTTTAAAAAATTGGTTTTGTGGCTTGAAAAATTAGTTTTGAGGTTTAAAGAATTGATTTTGTGGCTTGAAAAATTGATTTTGAAGTTTAAAGAATTGATTTTGTGGCATTTGATGGGGTTGTCCGAATGGTAAATTTTGCTGTCTAAAGGGTTGATTTGGCTGTCTAAAAGATTGATTTATCAGATTACTCAATATTTGATTATTATAATTTAATGGTTTCTGCATATTATGCAGTGTAGTCGTGTATTTTGGAGATAAGTATTTTTAAAATGTGTTTGACTTGTTAATATTTCATAATTATTAATAGTATCTATAGCTTCATCCAAATTCTGAGGATTGCGAACTATAAGTAACGGTCTCAATTCATAAGGAATGTTTGCTAAAAGATTTTGCGTAGCAGTTAATACATTCTGAGAAATTAATATCGATCTAGCTTCAGCGTTTTCGATTTCTGAACATATCTTAGTATTAATTTTAGTGACTAAGGCTTTGAGTTTTTGAATGTAGTCTTGAATAGAATCATTTTTCCTCGATGAAAATATTAATTGTTGTTGAAGGTTAGTACGAGTGATCGGATTGCTAAATTTCTGAATTAAAGCTGATTTTACCTCGGGCCAGGTTCTAAGGTCTGGTCGAGTTATAAGAAAATTTTCGGCTGTACCTATAATTTTTGATTTTATTGCGAAGATAGCATATTTCTGCTGTGATTGATCATTATTAAAATATCTTACATAGAAAGTATCAAATTGGTTAAGGAAAAATTCTAAACGTGACGGCGTACCATTGAAGTTTTTTAATAGAGAAACAGTTGATCTCAAAGCGTCGGCCATCTTTTTGATTTCACTATTAGTTAAATCTAAGCTAATTTCTAAAGTATCCGTAAGAGTAGAATTATTTTCTTCACTTACACAATGGAACAAAGAAATACCAGAATATAATTCGTCTATTTGATTACTACGTGATTGATTATTTTCCGCACTATTTATTATTCTAGGATAAGTAATATCGCTTAGCCTATTTTTAAATTTCCTCATGAAATATCATAAAATCTTTTACAAATTCTTAACTAACAAGTGTCACAACTATAAGGAACAGTTTAGTAAACGCACTTACAATTATATGTTCCTAGTCTCGTTCCTGTATCAAATGGTCACGTCCAGTTGAGAAGCTGCGCTTTCCCAAGAACGGTGCCGTTTGTAGTGGACGCTGGCTCAGGCTACTTCGTCCTACTAGCTATCGAAATGGCGTACCAATGATCGATGTTGCCAGAAGCCCCAAGTGCCCCGTGTAACGATGATGTTTTGGAATCCTTTTCTTAACTGTTGAACAGAAGTGTGTCACGATCCCTTTTGCGATGCACTGATAATCCAAACTGGCGTTTCAGCACACTAATCGCGAAGAAAACTTTCGAGAAGTACAACGCACTGACAATCCAAAACGGTAATCCAGCGCACTAATCTCGAGTAAATTTTCGAAAACACACCGAAAAGGATCCTACCGACTGCGCCAATTTTATTTCTGTCCGTAAAACTTGTATTTTTAAAAACGATTTTTATTCAATACGAGCGTTTACAGGCAGCGTTACGACAATAAGCGACTTAAGAGACTAAAGAAGCAGATGAAACAATACGTATATTTACAGTATATGAAAGCTGAATAAGCTTATCCTTATCAAATGCTTTCTTATTATTATATGGGTCATCATAATAGATATATAACTCTATGTCAAACACAAACAATGAAATAGAGTAAAAATTGTTTTTTGTTAATTTACTAATGTGTTCTTGTTAATAATCCGCAATGTGCAATAGGCAAATCGTCTTTAGTTGCAATTTGGTTGCAAAATAGGCGAAACATTAAAAACTCTGGGAGTTAATTCACATTTATTTATTAAGAATGTAAATGTTATGCGGCCGTATAAAGTTCAGGTTCTTCGTGTAGCAAAGGCTAAAAAGCTCAAATTCAAATGTCCTTTAAATATATTTAAGCTGCACTGTGAAATTGTCGATTCGATCACTAATCGTCAGCAGCGTTTTTTAGTTTCAAAAATATGCTTCCAAATCCATAAAATGTCTTGAGTAACTGAAACAAAAAATCATATTGTACACAAAGAATTCCTACCTAAGTCAAAGTCAGCTGGCATCACGAATAACATGCTTTTAAGCAAACATTTTTTTATCTTCTTTATCTCGAAGAAGAGGAAGTATTCCGTTTTGCCAATAAAATGTTAAAATTGGTATTCCACACGTCGTTAGTATGTAATAAATCACGTGGTATATTGATAAATCAATTATGGACCGGAGTGTCACTATACTTTTCTGCTTTTGGAAAGAATTTACGATCATTTAAAGATCAGTTCAATTTAATAATAAATTTGGAAAATTTAATGAAATATGTGAATCACGTATATTAGAAACACGGTGTATGTTCAAAAAGTATGGTGACTTTTAAGTTTCATCAAAAAAAATTTTATTGTCCCCTTCACATACCTGTGCCAATGTTTTTTTCAATCCTCAAAGCACTTCTAAATGACTTTTGTTTCAGATACTAGCTTAACAAGTATACAATACAGAGGCCAATTAGATGTACCGTCGACTTCACAAAATTAAAAAAGAAATTTATGATGACGTCCTATCTCAGGTACGAACTTTTAATGCGTGGTTATAACATATGCATGAGAAAAACTGAAAAAAAATGTCTACAGCAAATTCTGTAGATGCAGTAATTTTTTCTTATATGTAATTTTAAACGTTAAATTTAAATTCACCAAGTTATAATATTTTACGACGTTATTCGAAAAACTCCACTCCGATGATGAGGCATTGCCCTAACATTTGTGTTTTGCATTTCGCGCCTAAACCCTATTCGTTCCCGAATCGAGGACGGAGTATGGGGATCATTTATAGTTCTTATTAAGAAAGTACAGAAATGTAGTCTTCTACGAGACTCCATCCTAAGCCACCCAATCTGTGTATGAAAATTAGAAATATGATCATATTTTCTTAAGCCATACACAAAGCGCACACATTGGTTTTAAATTTTCTGAATTATATGAACAAAAATCGTATACAGAAATACAATAATTAAAATTTGGTTAGTTTTGACCTAAAATTTGCCTATTACTCATAATATTTTCAATGCCCTATGTGCTTTTTAAATATTATTTAAATCTTCGCTCGCTATCTAAACAAATACCCAAGTTCTTAGCATTATTAACGATGTTAAGTACTGTGCCATCAGTTATAATATTTCAATAATTTTTGATCCTAGTCATTTTACAGTAATGATGAAGAGTTTGTAGGGTTTAACTTGAGATAATGGCTTTTGAAGAGCTCACTCAAAGTTCGTAAATCGTGATTTATGTTTTGTTCTACCTCCAAAAGAGCATCATCAAAACAATAATAAATTTGTGTATCGTTGGCAAATGCTTGGATTTTACAGAAAGTTAATGATTTTAGAATTTCTGAAGTATACATATAAATAACAGAGGACCTAAAATGGACGCTTGTGGCATCCCTGATTCGAAAATTTGTCAGATACGAAGACGACTTAATCATTGATTGAATCGAAAGCCTTCGAGAAATCTAACAGATATAACAACACAAGAATGGTACATCGTAGTTTCGTAATTTTTTAAAATTTCTCGAAGAATGCTTATCAAACCGATATCGTAATACCAATCCAATGATTATAAACTTTGGGTAATGGTCTCCCTATTGATTACGGCAGACAAATGCATTTGTTTTAATACCATTAGGCGTCTTATTTACTTCTGTTGTTCATGATAGCTTAAAAGAAAATTGAAAATAATTATTGTAAAGATGGGTGTCATAAAAAGTGATTTTTTCTTTGCAATCGGAAATGTTGTGAATAAATGTACCAAAATAATTATTTAAATTATTAGGATCAGAAAGTCTGTTGGGTATGGTCTGATTGTTTTTTGCAATTTACAATGTTAAAACTCTTTATTGAGGACCATCTCTTTTCCCTTCTTATCATGGAGAGTGTAAAGCTTCTTAAAAATTTATAATTCTTCAAATCGTTAGGATCTTTTGTTCTTTTAAATTTCTTTAACGCAGTGACTCTTTGTGTCATAAAAATTTTAATCGTGGCCGTTAAACATGCCTATTAAATAAATCAAAAATAAGGTTATTAAATATGGTAATTTTATCACTAATATAACAAGGCATGCTATACATATTGATCAAAAAATTGTATTTCTGTTTATATTCCAATATATTAGTCTCTGATCAGAAACTTTGTCGGCAGAAATTACACCGCAGTCACTTACCAAATCAGTGTTTGATACAAAAATGGCATCTATAAGAGTATTTACCGTTGTCCAAGAACGGGTAGGCGAACCTATAATTTGCACAAGAATATAATTCCCAAATAAGGAAAATTCAATTAAATTAAGATTGAAATCGCCAAAACAAAATATTTCTCCAACTGTTTGATATAACCATGAAAATATGTTATCAAAATTTGATATAAGACTATTGAAATATATAGATGGGGGCCTAAAAAATCAGATATGTCACAAAAAATTGAGAACAAAATAAATAGTATAAATAATTTATTAAATACGAGATTTAAACAACAATAAAATTATGACCTGCTCAACTTTGGAAAAACAATTTAAATATTATTTCACAATGAGAATAATATTAAAATTGCGCTGTTAACATTGGCAGTAGTTGCAGAAAAAACATTTAAAAACTAAGAACAAAACAGTGAAACAAAAAAGAAATGTTTAATTAAGTGTCACTTCATTCATGACACTTTGAAAGGCTTCTATTATCCTCTGCTTTATGTCCTCTTTTGGTATGGGGGCAGTTTTATACACTCAATCTTTAACATATTCCCACAAAAAATAGTCCATGTTTGTTAGATCAGGAGATCTAGGTGACCACTTCTTCCAATCCAACGTTGAGGAAATAAATGATTTAAGTAGTTCATAACTTTATGGGCATGTTGTGTAGGGGCTCCATCATACAGAAATCACATTCTCTGTCTCACTTCGTTTGGAATAGTTCTTAACATATTTTGCAACATTTGCTCTAAAATGTCCAAGTAAAATCGACCATATTATTAAAAATTAATGTGGGCTCAAAAATAGAACTCATTTTGGCTTTGGAGATTTCTAAGTTCTCCAGAAGATCAAGTCTTTTACTTTTGGTGCACTCATGTAAATTACATATATTTTTGTTAGGCGAAAAGTTGTGCCCTGTGGGTGAATAATGTATAGCACAAGCAGATTTGATCTCTATCACATCAATGTACTTTTTCACCAAACTAAGATATTCGTGAAGACTGGCAGACTGTCCGATATAAACTGCATTACAATCCTCACAGTTCAAAGGATATACCCCTAATCTAGAAAAATAATCTATTGGATGCCTAACTTTTATTATAAATTGTTTTAATAGTAAATATAAAAATTTCCATTCTTGAACAACTTAGGCAAATGCAGTGACATCTTCTAAAAATGGGTGTAGCATTGAAATCTACGTTCTGAAGTTTTATAAACAATTATTTTGGATACCTAGACTTTGGGTTTAACTGAACTTTTATAGTTTTGTGAAACCAGGTCTCTTCGAGACTCGGCGATTCACTCTGGATTGTCATCTGAAACCATGACCTATTAGAGTAGTTGTCAAGTGCCTATTGCTTGACTAATTTTGTCCATGCGCGCAATTAACTTGGGATACGCGATAATTAATAATAATTGAAATTAATTAAATACTTACCGACAGAATAAGTAAGAAATTTAAAGTGATTTTTCGTGTAACATAGAGTTTTTCGTTAGTCGAAAAAATCATCAGCATCAAATGGTACGATTTCCTATCCTGTACTTGCCACTGGTACCAAGGGAGTGTGCAGCATTTTCTCAGAAGCTTTTCGCACTAGAAAAAAACTACAACCTTTAAAAAACAAATAAAAACATACAAGTCTACAAGACTTCTCACATTTTCAAAGGCTCGTGATTTTTTGTACAACCCTGTATTATTTCATTCGTAAAAATAATGAATTCATTAATACTCTCTGCACAATCAAACAATTCTAATAATTCTGAAATTATATTTAAATTATTCAAATATGGAATAAAAGACCCCTTGTATAATCCAGAAAAAATCATATTTTGTTTGTTTTGTTTTTTTTTGAAGATATCATATATATATATATATATATATATATATATATATATATATATATATATATATATATATATGATGACACTATATTCCGGGATATCATCCGTTCGCTCGTTGAACTCCGACTGGAATCCTGCAAGTCCTGCATCCGACTGGAATCCTGCAGACGTTTCGCCAAAATCTCACTTGGCATCTTCAATGCTCGCGCTCCGAAAACACTTCGAACACTCAGTGTTGTCAATGTCAATATTTAGGTCTATTTAAAAAAAACTTTATATGAATATATGTTCTAAACATCTTAACTTGTATAATACAGAGAGGTAAAGTTTTCAATAATAAAATATATCTTTTTTTGATATCTGTACCACTTTAGATCTCTCTTCTCTTCGGTCTGTATCCTCTTGTGAAGATGTAGCGTCTAATACGACGTCGTTCACTAGAGTCTTCCATCTCTCACGGTCCTGGACTTCGGTGATGAGAGTATGCATGGCCATCAACGTAGGTTTTGTTAATTGGTCGATCCATCTTGTCGGTGAGCAGCTACAGTTTCTTTTTCCTTCGACTTTTCCCTGAATGACTATTTTCTCTAAGCACTCTGGACCTCTTCGCATTACATGACCAAAATATTTTAGGACACGCAATCGTATCAGGCTAGACAATCTTTTTTTGACTTTTAGTTGTTTCAATATGGAGTCATTAGTCCGGTGTTGTGTCCATGAAATATTTAGTAATTTCCCCTAACAATACATTTCCGTAGCATCAATTTTGTGTTGTTCAGCCATTCTAATAGTCCAGGCTTCGCAACCATACATAAGTATCGGACAGACTAAGCAGTTCATAATTCTGATTTTTGTTTGTGTTGCTATTTGTCTGTCTTTCCAGATTTTATCAAGTTTTTTGGTCGCTCTTAATTGATCAACAACCTCGAACCTGTCCATCTGTTGCGTATCCGATCTATTATTATTAGCTTGGTCAATTATCATTATTTTTGTTTTGGAAGTGTTGAGTTCCAGACCTAGATACACACTCTCTTTTCCAATCCTATGAATGAGATCCAACAATTCATCTGCAGTGTTTGCCAGTAAGACGGTGTCATCAGCAAATCGAAGATTGTTAATTTTTCTGCCATTAATTGCGACTCCTCCCATCCAACCATCGAGCGATTTCCTAATAATGTATTCGCTGTATATGTTAAATAGTTGTGGTGATAATACACATCCCTGTCTCACTCCACATCTTGGTTGAAATTCTCGAGAATATCTGTTATTAATCTTGACATTACCAGTTGTGTTTTGGTATAATGTAATTTTTAGGAAGATAAGATGTTGTGGCACTCCCATTACATTGAAGACAGTCCATAGCTCGCTCCTAGGGCCTCTTCCTTTGACAAACCCCACTTGTTCCTCTGGTATTTGGGGTTGTAATTAGTTTATAAGTCTCTCGTTGATTATATGTAGGAGGTTTTTACTAGCATGTGAAATAAGGGTAATTGTACTATAATTTTCGCATTTTGTTTTTTATCTTTTTTGTGAATCGTTATTATTTCATTTTTTGTCCAGTTTTTTGGCCATTGTCCAGTTTTCCATATTTGATTGCATAGGTGAAGAAATACGTTTATTCCCATTTCGCCCGTTGCTCTGAGTATCTCTGCTTTTAGTCTGTCGGGGCCTGGAGCTTTGTTATTTTTTAATTTGTGAATGGCTGCTTCTATTTAACATTTAAGAATATCCGGTTCTTCTTGCCATCCTTCCGTTTGTTGAGACTGGACGTATGGTTATAAGGTTTCCGTTTGTGTCCTCTAATGACCAGGTTCTGGGTTTGAAATCTCTGGTTATATATTTTATTTGGCGGAAGAGATCTTTCGGTTGGTTTGATCTGGCGTGAGATTCCACTTCGCTGAATATGGTGGCGTAATAATTATTTTTATCATCTTTACATGCACCTTTAAGCTATTATCTTGGTTCGGGTTTAAAGGCCGTCGTCGATTGGAATTACTTCCTAACGTTTCGCTAGCACGAGTGGCGAGCTTCTTCAGAGGTCCTTCCATCTCCGATGTTGGACGTAGACTGACGATTTCTCCTGCGCAGGTTGTATTTATGCCGATTGGTGGTGGGCGGGGCTTGTTCCGCTTCGGTTGGTCTCGGGATATCGATCGGTACTGCTCGGGCGTTCCTAAGGATCGGGTTCAAGATTTGGTTGAGTCTAAGGGTCTCCTCCTTTCGGTTGAAATTGTGTGGGTGTTTTTGTATCTCAATGGCTTCCCTAACTAGTCTGTTGAGATAGCCGTTGACCGATGCTAGTAACTTACAGCTCTCAAAGTGTATCCTGTGTTCCTTGCTGCTCAGTGCGTGTTCAGCTACTGCAGACTTCTCTGTATGTCCTAGCCTGCAGCTTGCTTTATGCTCCTTAAGTCTCGTTCCCATTGATCTCTTGGTAGTCCCGATGTAGACCTTTCCGCATGAACACGGAATGCGGTAGACTCCTGCAGCTGAAAGTGAGCCCCTCTTGTCCTTCGCTGACCTGATGGTCTGCTGGATCTTCTTTGTAGGCTTAAAGATTGTTTTGATGTCGTGTCTTTTCAATACTCTGCCAATCCTGTCGGTGACACTCGGAATATACGGCAGATATACGTGGGAGGTGGAGGGTCGTTGTTCGGTATCCCGTGATCTTGATGATCTTGAGTTCATTGATCTCTCGATCTCCCTCTTGCTGTAGCCATTTGCCTCGAACGCAGTTTTTAGGTGTTCAAGTTCCATCTGGAGGCTCTCCGGTTCGCAAATCCTTCGGGCTCGTTCTGTCAGGGTTCTGATAACCCCATACTTTTGACTTGGGTGATGGTTGGACAGAGCATGCAGGTATCTGTCCGTATGGGTTGGTTTTCTGTAAACTGTGTGGCCCAGCTTCTTACCTCGCTTCCTCACTAGTACGTCCAAGAATGCAAGTTGTTGGTCATTTTCAGTCTCCATAGTAAACTGGACGCTGGGATGCTGACTGTTGAGATGCTGCAGAAAGTTGTTGAGCTTGTCCATACCATGTTTCCAAATTACGAAGGTGTCATCCACGTACCGGAACCACGTTGCTGGCTTGTACTCTGAGGTCTCGATCGCTTTTTCCTCAAAGTGTTCCATAAATAAGTTGGCTATAACCGGGCTTAGTGGGCTTCCCATTGCCACTCCGTCCACCTGTTCGTAGAAGTTTCCCTTCCACACGAAATAGCTACGGGTCAGACAGACTTCAAAAAGTTTGCAAATATCGACAGGAAATATCCTGTTCACCAGGTCCAAGCAACTCTTCAGAGGTACTTTGGTAAACAGTGAGACGACGTCGAAGCTCACAAGGATGTCGTTTTGTTCAATATTGATGTCTTGAATCTTGCGCACGAAGTCGGTGGAGTCCTTGATGTAACTGGTGCCGTGTCCTACGTGTGGTTGGAGCAGCGATGCCAAGTGTTTAGCCAAGTAATACGTTGGTGATCCGGTTGCGCTAACTATTGGTCTTAAAGGGACATCTACTTTGTGTATCTTAGGTAGTCCATAGAGCCTTGGTGGAACAGTCTCCGTCCTCACAATGCGCTTCTTGATTTCTTCTGACAGTGATGATGACTTGATGAGCCGGTTGGTAAGACGTAGTCTAACTTGCGTCGGATCCTTTTTCAGGGGTTTGTAGCTTCCCGGGTCCAAGAGTTCCTCAATCTTCCTTTCGTACTCCTCGGTCTTCAGAAGAACGGTTGCGTTTCCTTTGTCCGCTGGGAGTATGATGATACCCTCATCCGTGTTCAGGCTACGCAGTGCCAGTCCTTCACTTCTCGTCAGGTTAGTCTTGGGTGGTTTTGCCTTCCTGAGGATGTTGGCTGTCTCGATTCGTATCTCTTCATCTTTAATATCGAGATTTACTTTCCGATATTTTTGTTTATCTATGGTGTTGTGTAATCCCTTATTTGACATGTATTTTCTCTTCTCTACGAATGCCAATGTTTTCGTTTTGTTATTCTTTTCAGTTTTCCCACTGCATTGACTATCCAATTTTTATTTGTTTTCCATTCGATTTGCGGAGGCATAGGTTTAGTTATTGTTGGTTGTTCTTGTTCTAATTTATTCTGGAACTGTACCATATTATTTATTTGAAGTCTGTCAGGGACATTGTTAGTTGTTGTTTTCTTGAACTTCATTTTAGTTGCCAAGAGTTATTGATCAAGGCCACAACATGCTCCAGGAAAAGTTCTGCAAGCTGATATTGAACTTCTCCATCTAGTGTTCATAAGAATATAGTCAATTTGGTTTCTCGATCTGTCTCCTGGACTTTTCCAAGTATATAATCTGCGAATATGGTGGGTAAAAGTGGTATTCATAATCGTGTAGTGATTGTCTATAGCGAACTGTATGAGGCGGTCACCTCTTTCGTTTCTGGTACCTATGCCGTATTTTCCAACGATGTTTTTCAAGTGGTCTTCGTGTTTTGTATCGCCAACTTTTGCATTGAAGTCACCGCAGATTATTATAAATTCTCTGCTTGGAATTTTTCTTAGAGTTGATGTTAATTTTTCGTAGAAGTCCATAATTTCCGGTTCTGTGGAATTGGCTGTTGGAGCATATATCTGTATTATATTTAATGTTCGAGGTGATGCATCCAGTCTTATGCAAATTATTCGATCAATGATGTTATGTATGTCTTTCACATATACCTGGACTCTTGCGGATAGCACTATTGCTACGAGAGCGAAGGTTTGGTCATTGTTGCTTGAGAAATATACGGTGTTGTTGCTGCTTGTTTTAAAATCACCCGTTCCAATCCAGTGTGTTTCGGACAAGCCTAGGATGTCCACCTTATATTTTGACATTTCCCACTCAATCAGTGTTTTCCTGTTTGACATTTAAATCCTTGTACGTTCCAGGTACCTAAGTGGAGCTCTTCTCGAAGTTGCATTTTGTTTCCAGTAGTCCTATTTCCTCTCATTGCCTGGTTGCCCACATGTGGTCGGTGCCCCATTTCACACAGCCAGACCCGGAATCGTGACAGCGCCGGTTGTCGATCGGATCGCATGACGTACTCGTTCTTATTTCAGACTTATCGCACTAGTTCTCTTGGGATTTAATGCAGTGGATTCCCGTGCTCTTCTGCATCGCAGACTGGAGACCGTCGACGTCATCCTGACATACCTGTTGTTGAACCTTTTGGGAAGGTAATCTTCCTTTGCTTCGAGACAGTGATGACAATACCCTTGCAGGTTGCTACTCCCCGGGTCAGGGAGAACCTGGAGTTTGCGTGGGCAGGGGCACTCATTTCCCCGAAGTAGATCTATCCTCGTGCAGGAGTATCTACCCGCTACCCGCTACCCGCTACCACTTTGTATATTTTAATGAAATTTGGCGCACATGTACTATATATCAGGAGGCATTATTAAGTGTACCACAGTTCCGCCTGTCTATTTTGGAAGACATTGATGGTACGCCACTGATTTCTTTTGCTTTGGAAAATTTTGCTCCAGATTTTATTGTACCTATGAATATGAATTCAACGAGTCCAAGCGTTGGACAAAATAGGGCATTATCCCTTATTTGACCAAGAAATAATATTCACAGGTGAAGCTAACTTTTCCAGCAATGCAATCCGAAATTTCCGTAATAACAATATTTGTGGCGATTAAATCCCCCATGGAGAATTTAAACATCAAGAACAGTTTTCGGTAAATTCGGTAAATGTTGGCGCTGGAATTGTTGGAAATTACCTAATTGAACTCTTTTTCCTGCCAAAAAGGTTAAATGCACAGAATTATCGCCGGTATTTAGAAGAGGATTGGCCAAAATTGCTCGAAGACTACATGACTACGCGTCTGGTTACTTTAGTTTTGCAGTAAGAGAATATTTAACTCACACATCGCGGCGGACCTCAACCCTGGCCCCCTAAATCCCCAGATTTAAATAGTTTGGACTTTTCCTTATAGGGGTATGTTAAAAGTATGGTTTATCACAACCCAGTTAACACTGGAGAATGGAATAGGATCGTATTAGAGCTTCCTGTGATTTAATAAGAAACACTGGAGGTATACTTCAAAGAGTGCTCGGCAAGGTGGAGGACACTGTCAACAACTTGTCTACTTTTTTTCAAAAAAGTTGTTATATTTAATAGTTGATTGTGTTTCTTTTTTTTAAATAAGAATCGTTTATCATTTATCTTGTCGTTAAAACTGTAAAAGTAAAAAAAAATATTTTCCTGAAGGACACCAGTTGGCAACTAAAAACTAGATATTTTATTTTAGATAGATATTTTATTTCTCACAAAAAAAGTTCTCGATTTAACCAGTGCAGTGGCGACCTAATTAACAATAATTATATTTGTTCATATTTGTCATAAAAAAATGACATTTGCATTTATTTATGAGCAGATTTTATCTCGTAATTTTTTTGTGTCCGTCGCAAGCTTTTCACTGAAAAAGATAAACTAATTTCTCTGCAGGTTGTCATATTAACGATACTAATATGACCATGCACAGAAGAGCTTGAAAAAAAATCAAAAAATTAAATTTCTTTAGAAATGATTTTAGATTTAAGAATAATTTTTAATATAAAAAAAGTCGGGGGCGTACCATTTACGTCTTTTAAAAAAATTGTGGAGCACTTAATAATGCCTCGTGATACATAATACATGTGTGCCAAATTTTTATTGCAGATATTAAAAAAAATTTAATTTATTTTTGAAAACTTGTATCTCAAAATTTAAGACGTTTAGGACATATGTTCATATGATTTTTTTTTTAATGTGGACCCAACAATCGCACCTTTAATTATTGACATTCGATTAGAAAACACCCAGTATAAAACATATGTTTTATTCCATTTGTTTTCGAAGTATTAGCAAAAGTATTGAATTTTCATATAATTTTTATTTTAATAATAAAATTTATAATTTATATAATTAAATTAAACTTGTCCTTAATATTTGATATGTTTTTAAGTGACAAAATGTTATCGAGATAATTTGAACGTACCGTATGGTGCAGTTAAGTAGAACTAATTAACAAGCTAATCTTACGAATATTAGCTACCTACTGCTGTATGATATAACATCCAGTATTTTCTATTTAGTGCCAAATTTTTAGCTTCTACCCATGTTCGTCCCCTCTTTTTCAAAATCTTTCCCAGTGTGCTGTCCCACGTTTCTCTGGGTCTTCCTCTTTTCCGTTTTCCCTGCCAAAATCTTTTGACCGGTACAGTACTGCCCAATATCTGTAAATGATCCCACCAGCCAAGTTGTTTCTTTTCTATGAATACTTCTATGGATTCTTTAATTCTTCTCTTTTCTGTGCATTTCTAATTTTGTCACTTTTGGTTATTCCTTTCTTCCTTCCTCTTGTCCCTATATGACAATACCCAAGACTTGGTGAAATAAATAAGGATTGGTCTGTAAATTGTTTCGTAAACTTTGATTGTAGTTTCCTTGGAAATTTCCTTTTTATTTATGAGCCCCTTACTCAATGCCTTATATATCTAGTTGTCGGTATCCAGCGTAAAGGTCTTTTGATCGTTGTTCGGCCATTCTAGTTAGATTGTCCTTATAAGTTATGAATAGTAAAGGGCTCAAACTACCCCCCTGTCTCACTCCTTCTTGTGTTATAAATGCCTGCTGACTTGCCGTTTTTTAGTTGTTTTATTGCCGTAATTAATTCTTCTCTCGTTATAAGTGGCTCATTAGGTTCTGTCTCTTCTTGCTTTACCATTTGTTTACCTTCGTATTCTGTCGTTTCGTCGTTTATTTTATGTTCGGAATCTTTCAAAATATTCTCTCCAGCGCTTCATTGTATCTGTTTCCGTTGTTAGTATTTCACCTGCTTCGCTTTTGATTGCCGCACTCTCTACTTTTTTATTGGCTTGAAGACCTTTCGGGAAGCTTTTGATTGATTTTGCTGTCTGACTCCATTTTTCTTGTTTGTTCTTTATTTTTACCTGCGTTTTCATCACTTCTGTTCACCACACTATCTGTTTTTTATCACTATTTTGTTTGTTTACCCCGCACGCGTCTCTGGCTGAATTAGTCTAGTTTCTGTAGCAACTTTTTTTGTATTTGCTCGTTTTTTGATTTTTCGAGCTTTTCAGTTCTTTTGTTATACCTCCACACTCAATTTATTATATTCCATTTTAACAGTTTTCCCTTCTTCCTTTCTTCCCCTGCTCCCACCCTTAAAATTTTGTGTACATCCATTTCTGTCTTAGTAAGGTCATTGTTAATAAATATGGGGCGGGTGTCCTGATTCTGTTTAAGCTTATATTTATTGCTCATAATGACTTCCTTTTCGTGTGCGTTGGCTAGTTCTATTAGACACATTTTTTCTCCTAGGCTTTTTGATGTTAACCGCTTGTTTTAGATACTGTTTCCCATAGTTTGTTTAAGTAAATTTGGATCTCTGGTATCAATTGGTAATCTATTCACAACAATATTATTCTCTCTTTTTGCCCATTCTAGCGTATTCTTGACTTCCAAGAGTTCTTCGCATTGCTTCGTATATTCATTTTGAATTCTTATTTGTTCCAGTTTTAAGCTATTGATGTCTTCTCTCAGTTTTGGTTAGTTTTCACTTCCTCTCTCTATTCTTGTTGGTCTCTTATCTGCTTTACTTCCTCTCAGTTCCCGCAGAAGCAAATCCCATTTCGTTGGTGTCGGGCGTCTTGCTCGGGGTTCTATTGGTTTTTTTACTCCTCTCAAAGATATTAGGTTCATCTCTTTTTTTCCCTCATCCGTTGTATTACCGTCGCTGTCCATATTTACTCAGTCATAATTATCTTTCTATATTTTACACAATTATTTGCAAGCACACTCTGTTCTTCCTATCGTACTATCAGAAAGTTTTTTGGAATTACCTTGACCTTTATCAGTGAATCCGGATTTTGTAGATTTAATATTATTGCTTGCTCAATTATAATCTTAAAAAGTTAATCTTACATAGATCGTCTTCCCGATGCTTTGGCCTACACCCTATGCTTGCTCTGTAATCACCTAGTCAATTTATTTGCTCGTAATTCTCCCGTAATTTGTAGTTATTCACGAAACAATAATGAAACTAAATTTATTGTTCCTCACCAGGACCGGATTTGAATATTTCTAATTTTGTTGGTTTTTATTATACAGTGCGGAATTGCACGCCTCTAAATGTTGCTTTATAAAAACAGTGTCAGAGAATATCTCACCTGATTCTCAAATGATTGGCCCATGTAAAGTGGAAAAGCGGCGGAAAATATAAAGACCGGTACATATGTCATCACAAAAAATTCATTAACCACACCCTAAAATCATTATTTACTATGAACCACGCGATCACATAAAGTCTTGCGATATAGTTAACTCACATTAATGGCTGCAAAAAGCAAACCCAGATTGCAAACAACGGACAGAGGCAAGTAAACAATGGCGATATTCTTAATGAAGACACTAAATTCATCATGCACGCTGAAATAAAAAATAATGTTTAAATATATGACAAGTTCATTGGTTAAAAAATCCGCAGTCTAATATTTTGCGAAATGATTAAATCGTATTAGGTAATTGTAACTTAAGTAACGAATTAAAAATGACTTTATTGTTACGATTAATTTGTTCATTCAATAAAAAAAATCAGCAAAAGTCGCAACAATTTGATTTTTAATGATTTTAAAGATATTAGAGTTTGAAAATTGAATGAATACAGTTAACTAACCAAAACTAACCTCACCTTAAAATCAAGACTTTTTTCGATGTTATTTGTCACAACTTGTCTGAAGTGCGTTGCCTGTCAATAAACAAAAATCGAGAAACTTGCCCGATATGCAAATGCAGCATTTTCAATTCGAACACCATGTTCAATAAATAGTATACAAATATCGTTGGTATTTGAACGATGTAGCCCATGCCGATATGGTAGTTTATCGCTTCTAAAACGAGCAAGGCATCAGTAGCGACCTTTTCTAGAAATACGTTGCTCAGGTGAATGGGTGTCTTCAATTCCCAGGCTAAAATAACAACGCTCATCGTTGCCATGATATGGATAACTTTGCAAAGCTTTGTCATGCGTTTTCTCACTATGGTGAAATCCATCTTGAATTTTTTATTTCGATTTCGTTCTAAGACTCGGAATTTATCTTCTAGAAACTGGTACAACTGTCTGTATTTATAAAGCATTATGCAGCTTCCTAGACTCTAAAATTATATTATATTTATTATATATATATATATATATATATATATATATATATATATATATATATATATATATATATATATATATATATATATATATATATATATATATATATATATATATATATATATATATATATATATATATATATATATATATTCTTGTCAATCAATCAGATTTTTTTTCAGTTTAAATATGACAAAAATCTAATATTTTCACACAATACTCTATATGTTATAAAAAACTACTGCAGATTTACAATAAACAAAACATATATAAATATAGGAATATAATATGCGGTAGAAATTAATAATATATAAAATAGCAGGTAATTCTTTGGATGTTATACGAGGTGCGTTCAAAAAGTAATGTTTGTAAGTGCTACAAGCTATTCCAAGATGGCCGAGAAGCCGCCGATGACGAACCTCGCTCTGATGAAAGCTTTGAAGAAGTGAAACAAATGATGTTGAAAAATCGCCAAATCACCATTAGAGAAGTGGCTGAAGACGTCGGCATGAAACGCGTAGCAGCAAAATTTGTTCCGAAACTACTTAATTTTGAACAAAAGGACCGCCGAAGTGGCATCGCTTAAGAACCGTTAAACGATATCCTGATATCCTGGTGACGAATCATGGGTATAAAGCCCAGTCGTCCCAATGGAAGAACCGAGAATCGCCAAGAACGAAAAAAGCATGTCAAGTACGATCAAATGTCAAGGTTTTGCATACTGTTATCTTTGATTATCGTGGCGTAGTACATCAAGAGTTTTTACCACAAGGTCGTATGGTCAATATCGAGTATGACCTTGATGTTATGCGTCTTTTGCGAGAAGCAATACAAAGAAAACTTCCGAAATTGTATTTATGGATTTTGCTTGTGTCTAACTTTTTGGCCAACAATAAAGCCATAATCCTGCGTCACCATATCCACCGAATATGGCCCCCTGCAACTTTTTCCAGTTCCTAAAACTCAAAAAACCCATGCAAGGAAGGAGGTGTGGAACAAAGCAGGAGATGAAGAAAAAATCGCTGGAAGAACTCAAGGCTATATCAGAAAGAAAATAGATATGTTCACGTCGCGTGAGTAGTACGTATTGTTTTGCTCTGGCTTTAATTTCCAATTTAAGTGGTATTGTATCAACCTTTTTGTTGCCTGGTTGGTACATGTTTTTTGTGTGTCAATACATGTCGTTTGGGCCACGTTTCTAGTCCGTTAACTCAGTAATTACTAGTTTGCGTTTTCTTGTAAGTACATAACCTTAAAGTTGTGGCTGCTGGTCGCTTCGAGTCAATACAGTCGTGATCTTAGTTTCCTGTTATGGTCCGGGGACAAGGGAGGTCTCATTCCACGATGGACACTGCTGAGGAGAATATGGAAAAGTTGATCGACAAAGTATGTGTAAGATATTCAAGCCAGTTGGAATCCAATTTTACTAAACAACTGGAGAAGATCGATGCTAAGCTCTCCGAGATTCCCAACTCGTGGAAACAACTTGGATCTGAGGTTTCCCTCAATACAAAGTCCATTTATAGATTAGAATTGAAGAATGATTCACTTGATCAGCTTCTTAAGAGAAACTCCCTGCGTTTTTATGGACTTTTGGAACAGGACAATGAAGACTTGGTTTACACTGTTTCTACTTTTATAAAGGATACGCTGAAAATACCCTGCCTTTGTTCGGATATTGACTCAGCGTTCCGCGTTGGTAATGCACGTGCGAATCTGCCTCGTTGTCTAATCGTGAACTTCGTGCAAAATGTAAAACGGAACGAGGTTCTCAACACATGAAAATTGCTTAAAGATTCCAACTACTCTGTTTTCGAGGACCTTACCCAGACCAGATATCAGTTACTCTGTGCTGCGAAGAACAAATTCGGCAAAAACAAAGTCTGGTCTTCGGGTGGTAACATACTGGCTTGGTCTGATGCGGACAGAAAAAAGTTGGTCATTAATTCCTTGGAGAATTTATAGGTAGGCAAACGAGACTTTACATCTGTGCGGCCCGATGGAGACCTGTCCACGGTTTCATCGACTGGGACGCCTACTAACATCGACTTACGTCGATCTGCGGTTTACGTGCACCTGTGAATCTTTTTTGCGTTCCTTGCAGGTGTCGAATTTTACTGCTTTTTGTTGTTTATTCTTACGTTATTTTCGCCTTTGCCAAGTACACATGTACTATACTATTTTTTTATTTTTGTTGTCTTAAGAGGGAATATATAGTTTAATTATTTGTTTAATTTGTTTATTGGGTTGGTACCATTGATTGATTGATATCTGCAAATTTATTTTGTTTCATTTACTATTTATTTTTGTCTTAGCACTTGCCAGAAGCAGCCCGCGTATCGTTTGCGCCAGCGTAATATGCATAACCAAAATTGTTTTATTGAATTTTGTCACTTAAATGTTAGATCGATTTTTACTGGATTTCTCTGAAACCTGGCTAAGCTCGAATTTATTAAACAATGGCGTATCACTTTATGGATTTGATTTGGTCAGAAAAGATCGCCTGCGTAAAGGCGGGGGCGTTGCGTCCTATATCAAACGTGGTATTAGATACAAGGTCGTTGATACTGACGACAATGATAATAGCAACCTTGAGCAGATGTGGATTAGTACAAATAGTTCTGGCAGAAAAATCTGCTTTGGTTCCCTTTATAGACCGCCGGATGCAAATCTTTATGAAAGCTTAGATTCGTTAGAAAATAGTTTAATCAATCTTCTACCTCAATTTGACTACGTAATTTTTGGAGGTGACTTTAATGTCGATTTCTTGAACTGTGATAACCCGGCTTTTAATTTATTTAAAGCATTGTTAAGCAAATACAATCTCTCACAGCATATTAACCTGGCTACCAGAGTGACACAGACCTCTCGGACCTTGATTGACTTAATTATATCCTCCTCACCTGACGTGGTCTGTAATCCAGGAGTTTGGATATGATTCCGGTGTCTGATCATCATTTAGTTTTTTGTACTATCAAAATTACTAAATTTAAACAAGCTCCGTTTTTCAAAACTTATAGGAATTTCTCTCATTTCGATTATAACACCTTTTTAGCAGACTTGTATCTTATTAATTGAGACTGTATTTATTTGTTTGATGATACCGATCTTATAGTTGATTTCTTTAATGATAAAGTTCTCAAGCTGTTCGAAAAACATACTAAGGCTCCTTGGCTTACCGACAATTTAAAGATGATGATGAAACTGAGAAACAAGGCCCTGTCAAGGTATAAAAAGAGCAACTCCGAAATCGCAAGAAATGAATACAAAACGTTAAGAAACTGGGTAAATATGGCAGTTAAAAATGTAAAGAAAGCCTACTTGAAATATTCTTTTCAGCATGATCAAAAGAATTTTTGGAAAACTCTAAAATACCTTAATGTTAGCACAAACCTCCAATCGGAGGCTGGTGATTTTGGAAACGCTCAAGATTTTTGTAGTCTCTTTTTCAATTCTTCCCAGCCTAATGGTAATCGCTATGATTCGCTTATTGAACACACTTATGCTAATAAATTTTTGGGAGATCATGGTGTGCGTTTCGATTTTGAACCGGTTACCTCAGAGGAAGTCGAGAAAATAATCTTGGGCTTTAGGAGCAATACTGTGCTATCTTTACCGGTAACTTTCCGACAGCCTGGAAAGTAGGGCGTGTGGTGCCCATTCCAAAACGCACATCTCCTAGCCACATATCACACTTTCGTCCTATTATTATACTGCCTACAATGTCGAAAGTAATGGAGTCTATAGTCTGTAGGCAGTTGGTGTCCTTTTCGAGGAACCGAGGGCTTCTACCCTGCACTCAGTCAAGCTTTCGTGCTAACCACAGTACTGCCTCCGCTCTGCTGACAATTGTGAATGATTTGTTTAGAGCTCACGACAAATTCAAAAACACTTGCTTAATTCTACTGGACTATAGCAAGGCTTTCGACACCGTTGTTCATAAAGTTTTAATTGCTAAGTTTAGATATTTTGGGCTGGGTGATGTAACTTTAAATTTTTTTAAAAACTACTTTGCAAATCACGTTCATAGTGTCGTATTGGCTGGCGAAGCGTCCAAGTTTTGTGTTGTATCAGAGGGCGTAGCACAAGGGAGTATCTTGAGACCTATACCCTTTTCTTTATACACGTCCGACTTTCCTAGTTTTCTCAAACACTGCAAGACACATCAATATGCGGACGATACTCAGCTTTATCATTCTTTTCAATCGAATGATCTGGATCAAGTCGCTGCAAGGCTCAATGAAGATCTTGAAATCGTCAGTCGAGTCTCCGCCGCCCATGGATTGAAACTTAACGAATCAAAAACACAACTGATGTTAGTAATAATGATTTTATAGTAAACCTGAACGGAACTATTATTATTCCGGTTAATAAGTGCAAAAATCTAGGTTTAACGATTGATTGTGATTTGCGCTTTCTGGGTCATGTCTCTCACGTAGTACAGAAATGTTTTCACAAACTTAAGCTCTTATATTTCCATAAGGACGTCTTTGATACAAGCATAGGATTGAGACTCTGTGATACTCTGGTTTTTTCACATATTAATTATTGTATTTCAGTTTATTGGCCGGCCTTATTTCAGAGGGAAACAGATTCGCTCCAAAAATTGCAGAATGCTTGTCTGAGGTTTGCATATGGTTTGCGGAAATTCGATCATATCTGTCAAAGTTTCATTAACTCGGGATGGTTCACTATGCAAGAAAGGTTTGAAATTAACTTTGGTGTTTTTTATACAAAATTCTAGTCCATCGCGAACCTATCTATTTATATGAAAAGTTGGTTAGAGGTGTCCATATC